GATTTGATGTGATATACCTACCCATACCTAAGTTCAACTGTTTTGGAAATATTGACAGTTGAAAATTAATTTTTTTGCAACTTTGATAGCGTGTAAAACCTAAATGGTTAAATTTAGAGAAAAACCGATTCCACATTCCTATCTTAGATTTCCATAAACTATCATTTGACACCAACTTTGAATTTAACCGGAGATTAAATTTAATTGGAATTTTTAATCATAGATTAAATTCAAAATTGGTGTCAAATGATAGTTTATGGAAATCTAAGATAGGAATGTGAAATCGGTTTTCCTCTAAAATTAACCGTTTAAGTTTTACAGCCTGTCAAAGTTGCAAAAAGTCAATTTTCAATTGTCAATATTTCCAAAACAGTTGAACTTAGGTATAGGGTATATCACATGAAATCTACTCAGAATTTCACGTGGAATCCAAATCAAATCAAATCAAAAATAGTTATTTTTCTACTGACGTTTCATAATAGCAACTTTTCGATTGTCATTTCAGTTTTGAAACGACATTCTTTTAGGCACTGAGTGCGTGAAAGTTACTTTTAGGCACTCAGTGCGTAAAAGTGACTTTTGAATGCGTAAAAGTGACTTATGAGTGCGTAAAAGTAATTTTTAAGCACTAGTGCCTAAAAGTGTCATTCATTATTCAGAAATAAAAAACACACTGAACACATATTTGAATTTTGTTTTGTATTTATTATGAATATTGAAAATGGAATTACTGAATTGAACGTTTGGGTTACTCAAAACAGAACTTTGTGTTATTACCTACTTTCTAGGATTTTAATTATTGATGTCGAATTTTGAAAAGAAAATCGCATGAAAAGTGTCAGGTGTCAAGTAAAAGCAGGTAACAAAGATTTTGGGTGTAATCGACTTATTCACATGAAATAAAATTGTGTTTTTTTATTATAAAATGCCAGTAGAAAAAATCTTGTATACAATACGTTACGAAACGATGTCTTTTAGTCACTCGACGTGTTGTCCAACTCGGCTTTGCCTCGTTGGACAATTTTCACGTCGCGTGCCTAAAAGACGCTCATTTCGTAACTTATTGTATAAATAGCTATTTCCTAACAAGTGCGCAAAGTGTTACTTTTCCGCACACAAACACAGGTATACGAACGACGCGAAGCGGTCTTCGAAACATTAAACACAAGTCGATTTGAATCGCACCATTCCTTAAGCCTTGGAAGGTCATTTTCGATTATCTGACTAAGAAGGATTTCATTTTTATGTTTCCACAATACGGTCGTGTCATCTGCAAAAATGGTGAATGATCCAGATATTCTCAAAGTAGCCAAGTCATTAATATACAGGAGGAAGAGTACTGGACCAAGTACAGAACCCTGCGGAACTCCGTGAGTTAACTTTTGCAACCCCGAGTCTTCACAATTGACAATCCTTACAAGCTGACTGCGCTCCGCAAGGTACGACCTAAACCATCTCAACCCCCCATCCCTTATCCCATAGTGACTCAGTTTCTGCAGCAGTATTTCGTGATCTACACAATCGAAAGCTTTAGAGAAATCACAAAATACCGCCGCAGCCTTCTCTCCATCATTAAGGCCCAGAAAAAGCCTCTCCATGAAGGAAAAAATGGCATCGTTTGTTCCCTTTTGCTCTTGAAAACCGAACTGATCTGGTGTTAGAATGTTCTTTTTCAGGTAATCAACTAGCCTTTTCTTAACTATTTTTTCAATTATTTTTGAGAGTGTTGTGAGCAAGGATATTGGACGGTAACTCGACGGATCATTAATTTCTCCACCCTTAAAGACAGGGACAACTACAGCCAACTTCAAGCAGTCTGGGAAAGAACCCATTTCAAATGAATGATTCACACAGTCAGTAAGAGCATCAAGTGCAGAAACTGGAAGATATCTAAGCAGTTTCAAATACACTCCATCAACTCTCGATGAGTTTTGTTTTTTTATGCCGGTCATGACCCCCCAAATCTCATCTCTGTCCGTCGGAAATAGCTGAAAGTTTTCTGCACAAGAGAATGCAGGTAAGAAACCAAGTGGATTTTTTGTCACCTTAAGATTCTTCGTCAATTCACTGGCCACCGTGCAATAGAAGTCATTCAAATATTCAGGCTTAATATTTATACCTTTGGAAGCTTTTGATTGTCTACCACGCAGTTCATTTATTATATTCCAATATTCTCTAGTTGAATTCCCTGCATCAGACACTCGCCGACCGTAGTGCTTTTCCTTTGCGATTTTTATAAATTTTTTGTATATTTTACGGTATAAAGCGAAGTAATTAAGAAACCACTCAGAAGTTGTAAAGTTTCTGATTGTATGCAGTGAACGGAGATTCCTGCCCGAAACTCTCAAACCCTTTGTGACTCACAATTTTTTAGTTTTTGTTTTGATATTTTTTAGGGGAAAACTTTTATTCAAAATATTGACCACATTCTCCTGAAATATTTCGACTGGCTTGCTAGAATTCTTGATGTTGTCCCAATTTACCCTCCCAGCCAAACTTCTGAAAGTCATAAAATTTTTGGTACTGAAGACTCTTGATTTTTTACTAAGTCTTTTTTGCTTTTCATGATAAGTATTATTTTCGCTGACAAAGCTTCATGATCAGAAATACCAGAGGGCAATACTGTACATATAAGATCACTGCATTCGATATTACTGCATATATAACGATAGTTTTCTCTGAATGATTGGTTATACGTGTTGGCTCATTTACAAATACTTTAAGGTTGAAACCCGTTAATAGATTTATCAAGGATTTTGTTTCCATGGAATCTTTAGTTTCGAAGTCAATATTCAAGTCACCTGCCAGAATAAGCCTCGCAGCGTGCGGGAATCTGGACAACAATAGCTCCAGGGAACTCAAAAAATCATAAGGATTTCCTGAGGGAGGGCGGTACACACAAATTATATAAATGTTAAGTTTTTTTACCACCACTACACAGAACTCGAATTCGTTGCGTTTGGCGAGAAAATTATAAGTCTAAGCTTTCAGTTTCAAATTCATCAGAAAAGCTTTCATGCACCAAAATCATTGTTCCTCCGTACCCACTTTCCCTGCAGTATTTACTAACCACCCCATACTGTGGAACAAAACACAATTCATCATCCTTTAACCAGTGCTCGGTTAAAAGAACAAAACTTGGTAATTTTTGGTCATTCACCAAAACAAATAGTTCATCTAATTTTTCTCGCGAAGATTGAATATTTAACAGAAATAGAGAAACTTCAGTCTTTATTCTTGAATGATAGTCTGTTATACTTTTAGTTAAATTACTGGCGCTGTTTCCTATGCTAAAAAATGTTTTGATATATGTTCGGAAATTTTCTGAGCTATTTTTGTTTTAGCATAATACTTCGGTGTATTTCCCTGGAAGGTAAAAGAATATGAATTTAAGAATGAGTTTAAATTTATGTAGAAATTCAGATTTCCATGAGCCTTTACAAATTGAAAAAAACCTATGTTAATTTCGTCGATAAATTTGTTTAACACTGTACGGTTTTCCCATAGAGGTATAGATAACATTAAAAGATTAGTAATTTGGGATACCTGCGTTAAACGGTTGAATACTAATTCGGGTATTTTTTTACCTAGTATCGCATTCCTCAGACCTCCACTAACAAGTACATAATCCAGCTTTGAATAGTCCTCCGTCAACTTCAGAATGCCTTCCGTAATATCCTCCATTCCTGCATTGTGCTTCACAAATGAAATGATTTTAAATTTCCTGAGGCTGTTGCAATCCGTCAAGAATTTGTGAAGATCTACAGTGGAACTGTCTCCTAAAAGAAGCATTCTAGGTTGATTGGTGCTCTCATAACTTTCCTTATTATTTGTGCAAGCCTTCTCGTCTGTTACTTTTCCTAATTCTTGACTCTCCTTTTGGCTCTCTTGTTGACCGGTTAACATTTGAGTGATCAAAGTAACTGAGTCAGATTCTGCACATTGGCCATTGTTATCCAGAAGGCTGTTTCTTAAAACAAAAAGTTCATTTTGTACATTTTTGTAATCCTGCATATAAACTTCATTGTCCTGTGTTAAAGTTCTGATTGTAGACAGTAAGTCGTTCTTCAAAACGGTTAATTCTTTGACGTCTGTCTCCAGTTTTTCAATTTTATGTTTGGTTTCAAGTGCGTTCTTTAGCATATCGTCAATTTTCCGTGACAGTTCTATGTTGTCCCCATTGAGATTGCATATCTCTGACTTTCTCTTCTCTATCTCTCTCCTATAGCTTTCTTCGGCTGCAGAAACGTCATCCTCGAAGTCAATTGTTCGTCTTTGTAGTCCAAATATGCAATCACATACAGGGTGTTCTATTTGAAAAAACAGAGTTGGTCTATATAGCAAACAAACCAGAAGTGCCACAAGCAATACGTTTGAGTAGAATTGTAGGAAATAATTTACTGAGCAACTTTCATTAAGGTCACTTATTCGTATATGAGGTAATTAAAAAGTTACAGGTATTATGCGCGACTTTTTTGCCACTCTGTATACATTTTTTATTAATAATAGTTGCTCTGAAGTATTAATACTTGATAATAAGTACTAATATACAATATTTCGAACAAACTACAGCATATTTTCAATTTACTGCCAGTTAAATCTTCACGTTTGATTGCATTTAACCAGCGTTATCTTCTGATTTTAAATAATTCGTTTTGTGTCACTTTATCAGAATGTTTTCGATTCAGTTCCAATGGTATTTTATAAAATTTAATGTTGTCCCGTTCTCCCCTACTACCTTTCACTACACAACAAAATGCAGGCATTTTACCAATATTTTTGCGCACTTTAACATTTGCCTGCCCTGACTTACTTATGACAGACGCCATATTTGACAGTTCGTTGGAATGCCCTATTGATGCTTTATATTGCTGATGTTTATATATACGCGATATATATTTTGACATGTAATTGATGACATACAGCATGGGAAGTCAATAAATTTCATTTGATTATTGAAATTAGAGTTAAATTTATTAAAAAAGAATTCTCTTTTGCAGGCCAAGAACGCTTCAAGTCCTCCTCGAGTACCGATGAACTGGACTCTGCTTCGGACCATGATGATCGACGAACAAGTCTTATGGTTACCGTAGCCCAACACCATGAAATAGATGATACCCATGAAGAAATTGTAGACGAGGACGCCTTTGGAAGTCCTTTGGGAGCATTAAGGAAGCGACGAGGCAACTTACCCAAACATTCTGTGAAGATTTTAAAGAGATGGTTGTACGAGCATCGATTTAACGCTTATCCTTCAGAGGCTGAAAAGGAGATTTTGTCGCAAGATGCTAATCTCACCATTCTGCAAGTATGCAACTGGTTTATTAATGCTAGAAGAAGAATTTTGCCTGAAATGCTTCTCCGAGAAGGAAATGACCCTATGCAGTATACTATCAGCAGAAAAGGAAAAAAGTTAATTGATCCAATCGCAGCCTGGCCAGTAGATTATAACATGTCCCATTGCAAAAGAGTTCGTCTGGATCATGATTATGAACATAGAATGACTTTGGTTTATCACTCTGAAGAGGACAGTCCTACTGAATATGAAAGCTCCAGTCCTTGCGGAGAAGAAAAATTCAATCCTTGGGAAACTATCTTAACTTTGGAAGCCAATCCTGCTACTAGAGGCTCTATCGATGAAATTGAAATCGGACCATTGCCAGCTACTGGCGAAATTGTCGAATATCAAAAACCAATCGAAATTGGACCAATGATTCCTCAATTGAGCCCGAGTTTACCTCAACTAGAACCACCATCAGAGCTGGAACCAGCGAATACCAAAATACGCACAAAAGCCCAACTGAAACACTATCCAAATGATCTTGAACCACCAAAACAGGTTGAAGACAAATTCAACAGTTTATATTTGCTGGTGGACACGGCTTTGGCTTTGAGGAAGATAGAGTTGGGCGCTGAAGTAGAAATTATCACGTAGTTGACCGAGAATAATATGAGTTAGTTTTAGGATGGAATTTTATGAAAATGTGAGTGGGAAATTTGTTGTAAGCTCTTCACTCTCAACTATATGTAATCAAATTTAGTGATGTGTACTTGACATAAGTACTTTGATTAGAATATACTCATCAAATGAGATTTTTTTCAATGAATTTGATTTTTTTTCTTGCTCTCATAGAAACATTTTGTTAGTTACTTAAAAAACAGACCTTATGCTTGTATGTACCATCGTCACCAAAAGTAACTGGGACAGCATCACATTAGCTCTTGTCCTATTATATGAATTTTATTGTCAAATATTTGTCAAACTATGAATTAAATGCATTGAAATAAATGACAGTAGAATTAGTCCAGGAGATTAATATGCATTATTTGTGTCCCAGATACTTTTGGTGACGATGGTACATATTATTTGTTTTCATATTTTCATTGTTTATAAGCAATTTTTCTTTTCTTTCAATATTTCAATTACCTACTTCAGAAAAGCAACTCTGAAGAAAACTTGGAATGATTTTTTTTAAATAAACATTTTCTAAACTCATTTCAGTGAAAGTGAAGAGTAAAACTTCAATATTATCCTTTAATTTTGTTCTCTAGTAGTTTTAAGTGCCACCAGTGCCTTTTATTTAGAAATTAAGGACTTTGTTTTTTTGTAAATTTGTTTGATAAGTTTATTGTAATGACAAGATGAATTATTGGTTTATGACTTCAAAGAATTAACTTATACTTTGAAATCCTACAACAAATTTGTTATTACACTAGTTCTATTAAAATTACATTAGGGAACAGAAAGTTATACACTAACATCAAGATCGGTTACAATGTATGTAGGAGGAGTATAAGGAATGTCTGCCATTGGGTAAAGATTTCTAGTGATAGCGTAGATCATAAAAATAATTTCGGATGAGATTTAAGACAGAAATTCTTAAACAGTGACCTGTTAACAATCGACAGTCCCATTTGACCACGAAATACAGAATAACTCTTCCCCAGTGTAATTTTTACAAACGCTCATTCACACATATCAGGTAATTGATGGTCTTCTTGGACACTTTTGATAGGAAACATCAATTTCTGAGCGAAATACAAAAAAATGAACCCCCCACTCTGACGCTCAAATTTTCATGAAACCTTGACTGGTGCAAACCGTATTTCAATATGTTCAACCGTTTTGCCGCTAGAGAGCGTTCCCTCAATTTGGAACAATAATGTGAAACCTTCATAACTTTTTTAATTATGAAGATAATTGATTTCCGTGTAAACTTTCTAGAGGTATTTTTTCAAGCAGAATTCAATGACTTATTTTCTATTTGGCACCGATTTCGTGATTTGACCAAAGTAATAGGACACCCTGTACAGTGTGTCCAAGATAAGGATGGGATATAGAATTACGATCAGGGGAACGGTTGGAGTTACAATGTTGGTTAAATTAGGAAAAAGTTGGGCAATTTGACAACCTTTCACATAAAGTTTGTAGGTTGTCAAATTGCCCAACTTTTTCCTAATTTAACCAACATTGTAACTCCAATCGTTCCCCAGATCCTAATGCTATCCCATCCTTATCTTGGACACACTGAATATTAATAACTCATTAGATATCTCTGTGCTGATTTTAATGATATCAGGTTTAATAGGTTTATCTCTAACAGTTTTTAAGGAAAAAAATTATATTTAGTCATAAGAAACAATGTGAGACCTTTGTCATTTCATTTTCCTTACAGATATAAAGTCCTTCTCTAACACATTGTTTCTTATAACAAAAACAGATGGGTATGATAAGAATTACATCATTGAAATCAGCAAAAGCAGAGTTATCCAATGAGTTGTTAATATAAAAATGTCCTATCAAAAAAAATCGGACTTTGGTCAAATAGAGATTCTGGAAAGTGCTTTTAGAAAGTTTTTACGGAAATCAATTATTTTCATAAACAAAAAAGTAGGAAAGGAAAGCTTCCATAAGGCGAGTTTGCGTGATTACCTGGACCCGGAGGAGTTGCTGAAAAATGACACTGCTGGCCATGTGATCTTCTATTTGAAGTTTCAAAACTAATCACGTGGGCCTGTCATCTTTTTGCTTGCTGAGGATTAACAACTCCACTATAGTATTGCTCAAAATTGAGAAAAGCCCTCTAGCGGCAAAACGGTTGAAGATATCAAAATGTGGCTGGCACCAATGAAGATTTCATGAAATTTCAGCCTCAGAGTGGGGGGTTCATTTTTTTGTATCTCGCTCAGAAATTCAAAGACCAATTCAGAATGTTTTACCTTGATTTATCTGTCACCTCACCTGTCACAAAACATTCTGATACCTGAATAGGTCTTTGAATAACTAAACTTCAGAAAGGAGGAGGCACACTTTTCTTATGGCAAATGGATCTCCGACAGATTTTTCTAAAATTTGGATATGCTTGGATGTTTTTAAGGCTTTGAAGCCATTATTGGCCGAACCTTGTGCGGTTGATAGTTTAGCCTCCCGAGGACGCCAAAGTTTCATATAACTTGGTGTAATTATAGGTTATAGAATATAAATAATTTAGGATCATTATGAACATGTGCCATGTAAGATGTTTTGTATAAATATCGCAAAAGTAACGACCAGATATTATTGAAAGTGATTTTCCAGACACTTAAATCCTTATTTCTGTGAGGGAAAGTTACCCAATTACAGCAAGTTATATGAAACTGTTACGCCCCCTGGAGGCTGAACTATCAACCGCACGAGGTTCGGCCAATGATAGCTTTTAATCAGAGTTTAAAAAACTACAACATATCCAAATTTCAGAAAAATCTGACGGAGATCCATTTGCCATAAAAGAGAAGTGCCTCCTCCTTTCCAAAACTATTCAAAAGAAACATTAACATCTGAATCAAAAAAACGAGAACTTTTAGAATTTGTTAGAAAATAAAGTGCATTTCATTTAAAAAAAGTGAACATCGAAATATTTTTTCACTTTGCGTTGCTCATTTGTTCAATCTAATTAAAAATTCTGAACTCAGATAAAATGCTACAACTTTTGTATTTACACCTTTCACCTATCACCTGTAATTATGGCTGCAGGTGGGTGTCAAAATATGATGACTCATGTTAGTTTACCTGTGTGGATGAGCCCTAATGCAAATTTTTACCCATTATGATTGTATAACAAATAAATGTAAGTTTTACAGAGTGATAAATACTAAAATTTTTTAGTCATGCCATACTAGAATATTATGAATAAGTTTTTTATGCTTTTACTTTTTATTTTGTAGGACCATACTTCTAGTCTCATGTAAAGAATACTTAAGGAAAAGGCCTCTTTTAGATGTAAGAAACGCAATAAGCAAGGCTAACAAGCTTTTTATGAGCCTTATCCTGGAGTAATCAGCTGGTGTATTTCGCTGATTAATGTTTTTAAGATTTATGTACCTAATACCTGTTATTATTAATAAAATACCAGCCTCACATGAAACTTTGCTCAAAAGAACAAAATTGTAACTTGTACAGGGTAGGCCAATTTGGACACTTTTAATAGGTACTATAAATTTCTGCATTGGATACCTTTTCCCGTTTTGCCGCTATAGGGCTATTGTTTTACTAGGCTGAAAAGCACAAGATTTAATGCCGCGGCTGGTGTTTCATAGCCGAGGCTAGGAAACCAGCCAAGGCATTGAATTTGATTTTCTGTCGCATGAAACATTTAATTTTTTCTCCGAATTTGTTCTGATTCCACTCATAGTTATCTTTTTTTATATTGATTTCATTTTTAATATTTAAATAATTGAATTGTCATTGTGGATTTTAAAAAACAGATTGATTAAAATTATTATCTGGAACGTTGCATAGGAACGAGCTTTTAATGCCTAAGCAGTAAAAGCCCACTTTTTGACCTTGTCAAAGTCACTTTTACTGTCATTTGTAGAATAAGTCCTTTTCTGACAAAATCAGATATTTTTTTCTCAGTAACTGTTGAAGATAAACCTATCGAATTTATAATTAATAAATTCAGCAAAAGCAGAGCCATTTAATTAGCGATTAATATTAAGGGTGTCCTATTTAAAAAAAAAAACTAAGAACGTCTGAACTTTACTGGATTCTGCTTAAGAAAGTGCGTCAAGAAAGTTTTTCCAAAAATCAATTATTTTCATAAACAAAAAAGTTAGGAAGGTTTCACAGTATTGCTCAAAATCGAGAAATGCCCTTTAGCGGCAAAATGATTGAGAATTCATAATGCGGTTTGCACCAGTATAGATTTCATGAAATTTGAGCCCTAGAGTGTGGGGTTCGTTTTTCTGTGTCTTGCTCGTTTCCTATTAAAAGTGTCCAAATTGGATTATCCTGTACATATCAGTATTTTACCCTACTGTAACATTTTTTTATGTGGTATAAAAAGAAATTATAAATCTGTTTTTGCCCTACACCATTTCGTTTTATTTTAGGGTGGCATGTTGGAGCTTCGATAAACGATAAGAGTATCGGTACTAGCGAAGCGTAGAAAATTATTTCATTGGTTTGTATGAAGGTTTCCGTTATTAAATTTTCGCTGGTCTGGTCGCCGCTCTTATAGTTTATCGCAGCTCCAACATAAACGCACCCTTAGGGGTTCGACAATTCAAGTATAGGGCATGTCCATAGCCGCTTTCCGTATGCACATTGGCGCGCTCTAGAGCACCACAGGGGCGCCACGCACTAGATTTGTAGCGTTCCAGTATCATGGCGTGAGACGCCTGTCTTAGTGTCAAATATGTCAAATTTTAAAAATAATTATCTGTTTGTGCAGTTTGTTTTTTTATTTATCAAAAATGAAAGAGAATCAAAACTATATTTTTTAAAATGATTAATATCGAGATATAACAAGAAATAATAGCTATTTATATAACAAGTACATAAAGTAAGGCTTTATTGTACGAATAATTTTATGGCCGAGCGAGCTTGCGAGCGAGGCTATTAAATAATGAGTCAATAAAGCCTGTTTATGTAAGCGTTATATAAGCGTTATATACATGATTTTTTCTATTTTGGTGTCATATCGAAGTCTTTTCGACACTAAAAGTAGTTTCGAAAAGAAGCTCTTTGTGACACTCCTTTTTTACTCATCAGAGGTTGGTAACACTGGCTGACTGATGGCCATCGAACTGTCATTCGCGATAAAAAATAATAGAAGATTTCTATATTTGGCATGTATGGTTGGCGGTTGCCAACCTAAACATATGAAATCAGGAAATATGAGAATAAAATTTCCAAGAAAAGTTTGTTTTTTTCAATTAAACAATACCAAAATAGAAAAAATAGTATAAAATATTCGTTTCATAAGACATTTTATCGCACTCGCCCTTTAGAAAACTCGCCTCCGGCTCGTTTTCTAATATAGGGCTCGTGCGATAAAATGACGTCTTATGAAACTTGTATTTTAATGTACTATTATGTACGATTACGACTGGTTTTTGTTAAAAATTTAAAAAAATTAATGAAAAAAGTAACATTCGCGTAGGTATACCTGTTTTATCTTGGCAGGTTGTCAGGACCTGTTTCACCTTGGCAGGTTGTCAGGACCTGTTTCACCTTGTCAGGTAGTCCAGGTAGGCAATAAAGTAGCACTTTATTTCACTAGTAAAATAAAGTAGCACTTTATTTTACTAGTACAATAAAGTGCTACTTTATTGACGCAAAACTGTTCTATAAATAGCACTTTATTGATCAATTGGACATAAATAAATAAATAGCCACCCACGGATGTGACAGCTGACAGGTTGACGCATACGTACAGCTGGGAGCTCAACGCCCCGAGTAGCTCCGGGCGTCACACTCCCATACTGGAAAGCGGCTCATGTGACGTCAGGAATGAGTTTGACAGTCGCCCTCAGGTAAAACCAATGAACTATAACCAAAAACTGGAATGCGTACACATATTGACGAACGTGAAGCCTAGTGCCGCTGCTAAGGAGGGGATACCTGTTTCTGTCGCACTCATTATGTTAAATGGCGGAAATTGCTTCCAACACGTATTCCAATTGATGAAACCTGTGAAGGTAAATATGACAAAACTTTCTAAAACGTCATATGTCAGCGAGCAACAGAAAAGAACAACATTCCCCCTTATGGCATCTGTCTTTCATGGCTACATTTTTTTGGCAGATATGGCAATGTGTGCGCATTCCAGTTTTTGGCTATAGTTCATTGGGTAAAACAAATAATTTATTTACATTCATGTAGATTAGGTCGGTTATGTTTTATGCGGTTTTCACAGCTTTTTTAACAAGTTTTTGTGTTATTTTGCCCTAAAAAAGTTAGAGTGGCGTGTTTGTGTTCCAGTCTATGTGGTATTTCATCTAAAAATTTGCTAGGTTTTCCTATAATGGATTAATTTCAGGTTTTTTCCAACAAATATCAAAACCATGTGTCACAAGAACAAATATATAGGTATAAGCCGCTTTCCAGCTGACCATTTTGAGCACGCAATCGAGCTTTTGCGCGCGCAAATGCTTCAAGCGCGTGTTTGTGTTCCAGCCGTACTGCACTTCGAGAGCTGCTAACTTTTGCGTTTCAAACACGGAACACTGTGCTGCACCGTGCTTCTCTTTTGAAAACATTAATCAATTTTTCTCTTCTTTCTTGAGCTAACAAATCAAACCTCCCATTGTTATTTAAAAAACAGTTTTGTTATGATGTCATTAGTTCAACGCGAAAATGTAATGTTTTGAATTAGGTTCAATGGTTCAACCTGGTTCAACCAATTTAAGCGAGAAAAAACACCTTTTGTTTTACCTCAAGGCGACTGTCAATAGTGTCAAACTGTCAGATCGTGTACTTGCCCTATAGTAGTCAATAAATAAAGTAAAATCTGTTTTTTATTTAAAGATAAAAGTCAAAATGACATTCTGTTGGCAATACAATGTAAAATTGTCAATGCTTTCAAATTTTTTATGTAGAAAAGGCTTGTGTTGCCAACATAGTTACTAAATTTTTGACTTGGGGAATTATCTTTAAAAAAAAACAGACTTTATGTTTTTTTTACTAAATTTTTGACTTGGGGAATTATCTTTAAAAAAAAAACAGACCTTATGCTTTATCCTATTTTGACGTTTAAAAATGACATTATTGAAGGCATGCATAATAATAAAGGTAAGTACGGTACAAGAATTAAGTAAGTAGACGTTTATCACCTCAGTGATTTTAATAGTTATTTATGGTACTAGTGTGTTATGTTGTAAATAAGTCACGCGAGAAAAATTTATACCACGAGGCCGTCGCGTCGGGCCGAGTGGTATAATTTCTCGAGTGACTTGAAAACATAACACACGATGAGTAGCATACAATGTTTTATCGAACAACTGAGAAATCATAACACACGAGCAGCATACAAGAACTGAAAAAAACTAACAGGTATTTTTTGGGAATGAGTCTTCTTTAAAACAGGATTTATAAAAAAAAAAATCCTGACGTTTCGCGTTGACGTTATGAGAGAGTGAGTTATAAACCATAACTCACTAGTGGGTTATGGTTTATAACACACTAAACTAAATCCAACGAAGCTACGGAGTGCACCAAAACATTGTCATGCATAGTGCACGTGATCCCTCAGGCGAGGCCTGGGCAGATGTGCTTGTACAGAGTCGCACTCGCACTTAGGGACCATCGAAATTTTATCAAATTTTATTAAATACCTAATATGCGACTAGGTATGGAAAAATTACTCAAAGGTTAACTAATAAAGAAAAACAAAAACCATTTTGTATATACATATAACATTTAATGAAGTACAAAAAAATGGGGACATTTCTATTTTAGGAGGACAATTGACAAACGAGTTAACAGTTTTCGATTTCAAAATTATGTTTTTCTACTGACATTTCATAATACGCTATTAAACGATTAAAATCTGTATCATAATGAACTTCATTACGATACAGATTTTCATTATAATACTCATTTTTAATATTATACAATGTTGATAGATGGCAGCACTAGTTAAAATATTAAACATTTTAAACGGTAATTTTGCATAAAACAATTATTTTGATAACTATAAGAAAGACTCCGAATTGTTTAAAAGTTACCTAAAGTTTGGGACAAAGAATAATTATTATGGAAATAATGAATGATAAGGAAGAATTTTTACTTTTTTCATTATTATACATTGTCAATAGATGGCGCCATCAGTTAAAAAAATTTGTTTTTTTTTTTTTCGAATGTTGGCAGCACTCTGTTTATAGCTTTTCCATGGTAATTTAGCCAAAAACAATAATTTTATAAACAAAAATACCTCAAATTGTTATTAAAAGTTAATACCTTAAGTTTGGGAGAAGGCATTATTATGGAAATATTGAGCGATAACGAAGAATTTTCACTAACACCTCCAGAAATTACAGAAAGGGCGACAAATGCAGGTAATAATATACTACCGGACAAGTCCAAGAAAATTTACAAAGAATTATATGGAGAATTTAGGGATTGGAAACACCAAAAACACATCATCCTTCTCAGAAAATGTTTTAAGTATATTTTGAAGAATTACAACAAAAAATGAAACCTTCAACTGTATGGATTACTCAATTATGAAATCTCTATTCAAAGTTAAGCATAATGTTGACATATCTAAATATCATAAGTTTTATCAATGGCAGTAGAAAAAATAGTGTATGCAACTCTCATGTATCAAAAATGATCATTGCATAATATACTATTATTTAATACTAGCGCAAAAATAATAAAAAATAATGATAAAATAATAAATACTTTTGTCATTTTAGTCCAGTTACTCAGAATCCGAAGAACTGCTAGAAGATTCATTAGGATTAATTATTATCGGATTTCTATCAACTAATTCATCAACTATGTGATCTAATTCTAACATTTTCACTTCTACCTTATCTTTTACATGTCCTACGCAATTATTCCATTTTTCAGCAGTGATAGACAAAACAGCTTCACTGAAAATATTTTTAAGATCGCAAAATTTAAAAGTAACATTTTTGTTTGCAACATAGTTTTTTATGTCCGCCCAAATAAGCTCTATTGGGTTGAGCTCGCAGTGATAAAGGGGAAGACGTAATACTACTCTATTATGTGCTTTAGCAATTTCGTCGACAATGTATTTATTATATTTGGTTTTATGTTCCTTCACTTTCTGCAAAAGCTGTACTTTTATCATGCTATCCTCGAATGGTATACTTTTCGAACGCAACCAGTCTTGAATTAGGGCTTTTTTTGTGGCTGTAGTTGGAATTTGTTCAGCTTTTCTTGAATGGTATGGGGCGTTGTCTAAAACAATTACACAATTTTCTTCTAGGTTTGGAATTATGTTGGTAAACCAATTTTCAAACGATTTGCCGTCCATTTCCTCATGATAGTCGCCCGTTTTCTTCGACTCAAAGGCCCACAAGGCGTCGGGTACAAACCCGGTTTCGCTTCCTATGTGACACACTAGCAACCTTTTTCCTTTTCCTGAAACAAGATTTATTTTGTTTTAGTTGAAACAGAATATTTACATGCATAAAACATATTTTTTGGACTATTTCCTGAATAAAATGTGCTGCGAGGCAGACAAAAAAAATTTTGATTTAATCGTGTCCAACCAAACACAAATAATCGAAAACCAGTTACCAAAGACATACTTAAAATTTCATACTATACCAACACATTTTCGTTGTTACCTGAATTTTAACTAATTGA